AATTATTCAACTAGTTTGCATTTTCTTGGTACAAATCAATACTGAAGTAACTAATTACATTAACTCATAAACGTATGCATATCAGAAGGCTAACTAATCAAACAGCATACAGATTTCATCTCATGAATATTTCATAAAAACAGTACTACTACATATGTAACATATCCACGTATTGATCAGTTTGTATTGTTCTGCTTCGCAATCAACTCACTGTCAAAAAGGGGGAAAGAGAAGTTTGAAAAACAAGTATTACTAATTTATGCCAAATTCTGAAATAGAGAAGAAAATTAAAAAATAGTATTAATTAGATTGTAAAACTGACCGGAGAGTGCGAGTAAGGTCATTAGCTTTGTTGAAATCATTGTCTTCTCTAGCCTTGAGGATTTGAAAGACAAGGGCAAGGTGAAGTCTTGTCGTGGCACTCTTCTGGGAAATCAGCTCCATTTCCTTCCTGAGGATGTCACATTGGGATTCAATTATCTTGAACTTTTGTCGCACTTTACTTTGCTCCTCCTTGATGCATTGCTGCTCCTTACGAATCTCGACCATATTTTCCTTCAACTTTATGAGGCTTAGCTTTACTCTCCTCCTCGCAATTCTTCGCCTAATGCCAAATGCGGCCATCTATATGTATATGATGTCATCATTAGGCTAAGGTAGAAAAATGTAATAAAATGGAAACAAAATAAAGATAATAACTTCAATGAATAGGATTGCATCTAATTAAAAGACTACCTGTTGCTTCCAGAACCTTTTGGGTGCCAATGTAGGAGAATTCATCTTGCTTGGTGCCATATGCGCGTATTTACTCCTTTTGCTTTTCCAAGTTCCAACTTCAACTTCCTATGTGTGCTTTCTCCTATTCCTAGCAAATCCGAGAAGCTTATATACAATTAATTAACGCGTAAAGCTTTTTTGCCTAGAACAGTTGAATAGTCAGCGCGTATTAGATTATACATAATGTGCTGATGTGGAGGTAACGTTAATTTGATGAACACCACACGCTGCGTCGGTTGGGCGGTGGTGGCAGGCAAAGTCGGTTGGCTTTTTCAATTCGATATTTTTTCCATATTTTGCTCATGGATAATATTTGATATATTTTTTAATTCAACATGTATTACAATATAATTATTAAAAAATTAATATTTTAAATTTAAATTTAAAATAAAAATTTTTAATTACAAATTTTAATAATTAAGTTGATAAATATTGACACATGTGTTAAATTAAAGTGTATACTAATAATTTTTTTTTACTCATTTCCCATTGAATCATCATGGTGTTACTTTAACTTTAAGATTTAGATTCATTTATAAGTAAATGTAGTCTAATAGATTAAGTTTAAAATTAAAATTTTAAGATTAATAGATCATAAAATTAATTTATTCAAATGTATTATGTTAGTGGTGATAGTGCCCCTTAAAATTATTTTAAAAAAATTAAAATCTAGAGGTGCAAAAATCACTACAAGAAAAATGGTTTTTAGTGACAGAAATTTGTGATGAATTTTAAAATCATCACTATAACTAATCACAATTGTGACAGATCTAAAAAATTAGTCATAGATGCATACATATTTAATGAAAA